CCACCAGTTCTTTACCCTACCGATAAAAGTTCTTTCCCTGAAGGAAGGCAAGGTTTCTTCATCAAATGATTAAGTTTATGCTTCTAGCAATGAACTAGAATGGGTAACAGGAGCGGTCCGACTAGCTTCAGCTCTCTTAGACAAGGAAACAAAGGAAGGATCCTTGACTTACAAATCTGTTGTGAAATATAATGGCCCCGGGGGGTTATGATTTCACCCAACTATTGAGTACCACATTTCATCTTGGGCAGAGCCGTTGCGATCACCTGAGGGGAGTGTAAATAGATAGGGAGATAAGTTTTGATGACATAAATTTAATGTTTCTAGGGTGACAAACTATATTCTCTTATCAACTCGGTAAAGAGTTTGGATCGTAAGGGTCCCTAGTAGGTCATATAGAGTGAGAGACCAAAATCTACTCAGCAATACTATACAAGTTGGTGAAAACTCTAGGTTAGCCAATTTTCTTTGCTAGCACTGGGAGGGGTAAAGAATAGTTATGCTCCTATTTATCACAGATAACATTATATTTTAAGCATTTCATTCCTATACATTATCTAGGTCATTGCACAAGAAGGGTAGTATTTAACATCTAGAAATTCTACAAACTAATTTATCTAAAGAAGTTATCTTTATATCTAGAAAATTATCTTTATATTTAAGAGTTTCATTTAAAATTAGTTGTTAGAAAAAATCAAGAATAATTATTAGAAAATTCACTTTAATCGACATTCCAAACTAAGGCCTGATAATAGTAGACTAAAATTAGCTTAAGGGATTTCTTACCTAACTTCTCTATGGGATCGATACTGGGGTCTTCAAAGAAAACCTTATATTACTTGAAATAATACGTATACTTACGTAGTACCCCTATTATATAAACTATTTTATAAATTTTATAACATTTCAATTTTGCACACTAACCGCTAAATATAATTTGGGTCAACTTTTTTGCCATCTTTTGGAAGCTAAATTACTACTTAATTGTGGGTCGGGTTAGTGACACATCAACTCTCAAAGAAGAGGAGGTTGTGGTCGCAGTTTCATCCGAAACTCCTCCAGAAATGTATGTTCCCACGTCATCATCCCTTGCCTTAAAAAAATGAGAAGAATATTTTTTATGGATGGAGGTAACCTTGCAGACCCCGTATCTTGAATAACAATGTTGGTTTCAGACACGAAGATAAGGTACATCGAGCCAAATTATAATTAAAAGGGTCCTCATTTTCACTTGAACCCGAAAGAGTCTACTGGTTCTGATGTTTGGTGGCCAACTTCTCCTACGTCGCATTGGCCTTGACCACCTCGTCAATATCCGAGATGTGTCACTGTTCCTCAATCATCTTGTGTTGCAGCATGTGAGTAGTTGTAGTCTCGACATTTTATTATGGGACCAAAAGATAACTACCGGTCAACATCGCCACATCCATACTTGATGGAAGAGACCTCCATTGCTTGCTTCAAGAGCTTAATTTGAATCCTCTAGTCGCCAGAGCAAGACCCGATCAAACACTTCTTCTCCCAATTCTTTATTTTATTTTCCACCCTTAATAGGTGGAGTTCCTTGCCCACCAAAAACACGACAAAGCTTTCCTGATCGACCTTGAAGACATAATAGTGCTTGAATAGATTGATTTTCCATAAAATGCCCTCCCGAAAAAAGAAAAATGAAAGTCATTATTGTCGCTATAGTGTTCGGTAACATTTGCATGTGGATGACTCTGTATGTATTAAAAATTCTTTGAAGCTCATCACACAGAGACAATCGAAGGTCGTACTTGACCTGGTTGCACTAGAAGACCAGATCCTTGCCTAATTCATCCATTGTTTGTGTCAACACTGACATCCTCCGAAGAGCACGTTATCGTGAATGATGTACTTCTAACACAACTCTGCCACATCATTATCCGTAAAAAATGAAGGGTCGACACTCTTGACGGAACTAAAAAGGGTAGGGGAGTACTTGGGAGCTATCTCAGGGAGCAAAGGGTAAAATGAAGAAAATAGAAGAAGAAGAAGAAATTAACCGAAAGTAGTAGAAGAAGAAGAACCAAAAGTAGAAGAAGAAGAAGAAGAAGAAGAAGAAGAAGAAGAAGAACCGAAAGTATAAAGAAATTAACCAAAACATGTAAAATGAAAAGAAATGGTCTCTTGCCCTACATATAAAGCATACATGTAAGACAAAACGTCACATAAATGTCACACCAAACAACATTTCAAATTTATTTAAATGTTGTTTTATTATGGATAACATTATTACAAGTTTTGAATAAAGTATTTTATGAATGGGTCTTCCCTAGCTTCGGTCGGGGCATACCTCTTCCGAATTAATCGACGGAGAACCAACTTTCTGCCTTGCCTCATGTGAGCCACCTGATCGGTGGCATGCTAGAACTCAGACAGGGAGAATGAATCACAGAGTGCCCCTAGTTCATACTGCACGTCCTCCTGCCTGCTACGCAGAGCGGTGTTCGCCATCTGCTAAGCTGCCACCTCTAAATATGTTGCCACCAACCAAGCTGAAAATTCCCGCACAAGATCTATGGTCGAACCTCCGATTGCTCCCTATGAAAATCGCCCAATACCCTTAAGGGTTTGGTCCAAGTTTCCTGCTGCTCCATGTATCCGGGAGCAGACGACTGCCACTCTGTTCGCTCCTGTTGAAAGATGATAGCTGTTAAAAGGTCAGACGACCGATGCCCTCTTGAAATACTTGATGGCAGAAGCCTTGCGCACTCAGCCTACAAACTGGCTACAGTGGGGGCACACATCGCAACATCTTTCAATGGCCCACCATTTTCGCCCCACCATCTTCGCACCCCTCCGACCCAATCGATTCATCTACATTAAGAAAAAAAAGTTTGCAACCGCCAAAGAGCCAATGGAAGCTTTTATGTACCAATGAATCTACCTATTGAAGAGAGCGTCATCAAAAGTCTCTCTCTCTCTCTCTCTCTCTCTCTCTCTCTTTCTCTCTCTCTTGCGTGCGCGCGCGATGAGGTACTTCCACCCTCCAACAATAGTGGATGTGGAGAGACAGTGATCACTACTCACTTCAGGTTCTTTTTGCTCCCCTCAAAACTTTCGACAAGCAAAGCTTGCGGTCCCCGACAATCATGTCTATATCAGATCCAGAATTCAGGGGTTTCTGACAAAGCTTTTTTAGGGAATGTTCCTTAGTGGCATCAGACAAGTCGACTATGTCGATCGAAGAAAGTTCGACTATCTACAATTTTTTTTCTTCACACTTTTCTTCCTCATTATAGGAGCTGAGACCTAATAGCCCACCTTTGCCAAAATTTTGGTAAACACGTTGATCCAGTTTGCACCATCAGCCATGATGCTCCTTGGTGATTTAAAAAAAAATTACTGCAAGGGACGATGCCAAGTCATTTATTCTATTTATAGATTACACTAGACATGGAACCCAAAAGGAAGTAAATTATTTAATCAATCCTTAATTTTGATGCCACTGATTGTTTAATAGTTTTCCTATTATTGTCATAGTTGTCACTATCAAGAAGTAGAAAAACACAAGAAACAAATATTTGTGCACCAATATCATCAACACAAATCTTAAAGCATTCAAACAATTAAAGCTGATAACTCAATGATCGAGACGTAAAAATTAAGAGGTATGATATAAACCGGTCATCTGAAAGATTATCAGAAGGATCAAGTCCACATTTGGCAAATCCGGTTGACGGGCCTATCTACGTTTCCAACCACCAAAGCTCTCTAAAAGTTGACCGAATGCAACTGACAGACGAACCATTATACCTCGCCAAAAACACCTCCACTCGGTGTGTCACTTTTGTTTGCCGAACTAAGGCAAGACTGACTGATCACCGCCATACTTAAAATTTAAATGTAATATACATTTAATATTAAACCACTGCATTGATTGTATTAAGGGTGGTTTCAAAAATCGCTTCCTCCTCTAGCAATTTAGGACAATTTTCATAATCAATCTCTTCTTTCTATAACTGTATTAGAGAACCTCCTATAAATAGGAGTCTCAACGATGAATAAAGGGACCCTGGTCTCAGGATTGTCTCTCGACATCATTTTCTCTCGACATCTCTACTAAGAATTTCCTAACATTCCACTCTCTCTCTCTCTCTCTCACCCCCTCCCCCCTCCCCCCTCCTTCTTCCTATTTTCATCACCAATAATATCAAAGCCATTGTAAATATGGAATCTCCTAAGAGTCTCATGCATTTGGGTTCCCTTCAAGGGAAGCTTGCCTTCATTAGGAGATTTATTTCCAATGTTTCTGGTCGATACAAACCTTTTGCTGCCCAGGCCAAAAATGATGTTTATTTCTACTAGGACAAAACATGTTAAGATGTATTTGAGGATATTAAACCAATAGTATTAGCTTCTTACATCCCTCAGAACCTTCTTTTCTTATATATCACCACCTTATTGACTTAGACTAATGACTAGGATGAGAAATAGAATCCAAAAAAATCTTTTACGAAACCACAAAGATTTTCATTATATTTCTGACCATATGCACAACGATGGAGAAAAAAAAATCGATGTTTGCATGACCTTATTCGAAACAACAAAACATTTTCATTCTCTATCTGACTATTCACAATGATAAAGAAGAAAAGTTGACGTTTGCTTGATCAAATTCAAAAGGACAAAGATTTTCATTCTCTTTGTGAACATTTTCACAACGATAGAAAAGAATAGTCGAGGATTTATCGGTAGGTGCTTTATTAGCTCAGAATAAGTAGACAAAATTTATTTCCTTTATAGGAATTTTTCATATAAAATTTTTGATGTCTTCTATTATAATTTTTGTGAATTTTTATGAATTAAGTTATGCCTGCATCGCCATAACAACAAGTATTAAATGAATTACTGGTAATAATTTTAATATAAGTAATTTTATGCCTAAATGCTGATAGTAATTAATTAATAATAATAATTTATTTAATATTTATTAAGAATAACGCAAGCCTGTGTTGCCTTTCCTTTCCCAGCTGAATTCCCGCAAGGCTCGGCGGACCCGAAACCCTCGAAGACAAAGCAGTGACGGAGCTTAGCGGGTTAAACTGCCAACTTTCTCCCCTTACCGCGCCTACCCGAAGCTGTTCACGGAAAAGAAACGAGGAAGTCGCGACGGGCTCTCGCCTCTCGCTGGCGCAGGTAAACTTCGTTTTTCTTACCCCCTCTCGCGCGCCGTATGATTTCTTTTGGCATTTTTGACCGTTTGGCAGGTTTTACGCTCCTGAATCTAGCTTAAATCCGGCTACCAAATAGTCCCCGAGGGAGTCGAAATCGAGATTGGCTAGTTAACTTTAGCTTAGTGGATTCAGACGGAGTCAAATTGAGGTCAGCTACGGGATCGCGGCTTACAGAGACCACCGAAACTTCCATGTTTCTCATCCTTGCTCTGCGCTCCTACTAGAAACCATTGAGGAAGGTAAGCCTGTTCGCGCTGTGCTTCTTCTTGGCTTGCCCCGGATTTATTAAATCCACCGATTCACAAGATTTAGTATAAGTGAGTCCCGGATTTATTGCGCAAAGGCGTCATTTTGGGATTTACGGGAGCTCGGGATTTACGGAGGCTTTCTTTGACGTTTGGCAGGATTGAGCTCCTTCATAAATCCTGCTCAAACCGGCTGCCAAACAGCCCCTTCAGTTATCCAGGTTGTTAGTTTCAGAGTCAATAGTCAAAGTAAATATTCTTATAAATTCATGATCGTTGAAACCTCATTCCATAGATCTGCTTTAATCCTAACATAGCTGAATATTTAGCACCAAGCATGTTCATTGGCACACCAATGGAAGTAGATTTCCGGGAAATGTTGCGAAGATTTCATTCTTTTGTTAATATTTTTCTTATGGAGGCTTATTATCTTTCCTAGACAATGATTGGAGGTATTTGCATGCACATTCATATGCTGCGTTATTGTAACAATATAATTGATATGGTAGATAATTATTGCACTGCATGGGATAATTGTCATTGTAAAGTGCACACTCTACCAAATAGCCCCTGTAGTTGAAATGCGGAATCAACTGGTTCAACGCTAGGCCACTAGTTCACTAGTGTTTCCTTTAGTTTATAGTATTTTATACTATATGGGATTTTGAATGGGTTTCATTGTTGATATTGAATGACCCTTCCAGACTTGTACTCGTAGGTTAGCACTATCTTTTTAGTTTAGTGCTCGTCACTCCATATATTGATTTTTTTCCCCTTAGATTAGGGTTATTTGGTGCAACTAATAAATAGTTCAATATATATCCACTATTGTAGTGAGTTAAACAGGTAATGACTGGATATAGATGTGTGTTTTGGGGTTTATATTGTGCTTATGATGATTGACTTTAATGGTTAGATATAAAGTTGTTTTGGTGGATATAATTATATGGCTTTGAGGTTTTTAGTAGTCCTGATGTGATCTGCTGATATTGTAATTTGTTTCGTGGATATACTTATTAAGTAAATTATAAAGCATGAAAAATTCGCATTGTTGTCCATTCTATGTGAAGTCTTGGATGGTGGGGTGGGGCATAATTGTCTGCAGTAAAAAATTGTTCTCCTTTGATCACTGGGTAAATGAGTCTTTGATTCCCTTGCTGAAGATGTATTTGTTATTGTAGCAATGTCGCTTAGAATGCTTGTCTTGATTCTTTCATTTCCTTCTTACCATGCGGTGTAATTTGCTTAATTTCTTGGGTGATTACTTGCCTAAGATTCTTTTCAAAATTGGTTTAGTGTTTTATTCAAATGGTGCGCCTTACAGGCTTCTGTAATGTAAGAAAGAGGATTCATGGGTCGCCCGGAGCCTTACACGCTGTTTGCACAGACCTTTACTCATCCACTACTTGATGAGTATGTTGATGAGGTCAGTTTGCTTTGTTTTATTCATGAATGCCTTTTATTCCTCCAATATAGTTTTTCTCTTACTCTGGAACCTTACATTGCTTTCTCCTGTCTTTTACCCTCTAAGTTTAACACCTTGATAAATTCTTCCATGTTTCAGTACATACAAGTAGTGTTAGGAAGTTGTGCTGTTTATGCTATTTAAGCATGATTGCTAACCTGTAATTGTTCATTGAGCATGCTTTGGAAGAAAATTTCCTCTCACTTGAAGATAAATTTCTCATTTTTAATTTGTTATACTTCTAATGGCGACATTTGATTTGGCTGAAGGACTTTGTTTTGATTCATGATCATTTTTCTTTTTTTGCCAGAGTATTTCTCCATTTGTATTTTGACCTTTCTCCTTGTTTAGTGGAACCTTTTAGAAGACGCCTATGGGCGAGCCTTTATCTTTTGTTCTGTGAAGTGCAATATGATTGTTATAATGCAATTCAGCAGACCATACGCTGTAGTGATTTTTTTTGGTTTTCTAGAAAAAAATTTCTTCGGTTATTTTAAACGGAAGATGTGATTGACATGTCTTTTGTTGCAGGTCCTATTTACAGAACCTATTGTTATAACAGCCTGTGAGTTTCTAGAGTTGAATTCACCATTATCTAATCCACCCTTTTCACTTATGGGGTAAGATGCTACAGGATTATTGTTGAAAATTTGTTTGAAAATTATTTCACATGTTATTTTCATACCTCTAATGCATGTGATTCCATTAAAAGCAGAAACTGCAATTCAAGTATAAATTTTTATTTTCAGTTAAAAGTTTGCTTTTTCATTTTATAGAAGATTTCTAATTCCTTTTTTCTCTCCCCTTAAATTTCAGTGTCTAGCATTTTATAGCATTTAACAAAAGCATTATGTCTAAAATCTTCTGAATTTACACCAAGGGTTTGTTTGGCGTGGCAGCAACTTTTTAAAAGATGGTTATAAAGTTTGGTGGATAAAGTAATTTCTCAGAAAACTGTAATGAGAATTATAAAAATATATTTTTTCTAGAAAAAAGAAATGACAACTTTATTATAACCACCATACTTTAACTTGTTTGGTTGAAAAAATCTTCTCCCCCTCAAATCTCAACACCCCCCCCC